ATTTTAGTAAAACAAAATCGCTTTCGAATTCCATAATTTGTTTTCAAGTACAATAAATGACTCGATCATGATTGAACCCATTTTTATTCTTACGTCTTTACATAAATTAGCAATTTCAAAGAGTAAAAACATTTTGAAATGTCGACATCTCTTTAATTGCCGGATCGAATCCAGATATGAGATCATATCCGAGATTCAAACTGGACCAATTGCTGGGTATCGGACCTATTTGTAGGGCATTACTCCTGTCATCTAGTCGTAACTTCGTCGCGGCATACTTTGACCTATGGCTTATGTTAACTGTAAAATTATAATAATCTACGAGAAATGATTTCAGAAGAAACTAATAATAAAGGTTAAGTTTTGATACAAGAACGAAAACTCTAAAAAGCATTATAGAATAGAGAATAACTTTTAGAACAAATTCTGTAGGACTAAAATATGAAACACAATGCCACTGTTGTTGTTGATTATAGAGAGATCATTTTGTTCTATATATCTTAAGACTTGTTTTTACACTCTTGTTGCACTTAGTCCTTTAGAAATGCATTAAAGAAGTAGCTAATATATGTATAGTTACAGATCGCTATTAATATACAGTCTGTGATGGTGTCTGGAGGAAGTCTGTCATGTTTTATGAAGAGGGATCAAGAAGTGAGTGCAAATTTCTAACCTATACATTTTAACACTCCTATTAATTCGTATTTCACCTACATAACCTAATGCAAGTAACGTTATACTGGGTAGCTTGCTATCTCATGCATCAAAGGTTGAATCGATTAAAACATACAGCTTTTCGTCTATTTTAAACACAGTACAGCTTTCAACGAGGTTTCATTAATCAGGCATTTTCTTATTATTTTCCTTTACAATGATATTTATTAAAGCTCTATTTATAATACTGAAATTGGAGTTTTGTATCTTTACTTTTATGAGATCAGTATCGCTTCTAGCAATTAATTCCTAAAATAAATATTCATTTCATAAAATGAAAGAAAATATAATAGATAGGCTGATTCTGTAACGACCTCTCATATGCAATACGGCCGTCTAACACTCTCAAGTTAATCAAGTTTTGATAATCCATAAAGAAATTATCAATGAGTCGATATTTTTAATTTTTATAGAATTAAAAATTTGTTATTTCTTAAACTAAGATAAAAAAGAATCTGATTCATCCTTCCATCTATTTGATCAACTAAAACTTTCAATGATTGTTATTTGAATCTGTATTGCATTTATTAAACTTCTAAAATAATAATGGAGAAACTTAAATGCATTTATTAATCACAAAATAAATGAAATTTTTTTAACAATTTACAAAAATATCGAAATTTTTCTTTGTCGATAATTGTGTTTACTGTTTAACGTGGATTTCTATGACATTATGTTACCATTGATCAGTATTTTACACGTATAAAATTACTTTCGTTTGTTCCATTATACATACTGTGCGAGTCATGCACACACACACACACACATATATATATCCAGATGTATACAAAAAAAAACTCGCTCCTTTCTATGTGTCCTACGAAATTATAACCGCCAAATATTTCTTCGTCATGCGTCTGGCATCAAAGCGAGAAAGAAAAAGAAGTCCATTCTTTTATTCTGTTCTTTTTCTTCACAGCTTTTTTCTCCGTCGACAGAGAATAATACGCTACTGTAGAGATATGTACATAAAAATAATGCGTAGAGTATTGATTGTTTTTCGTAAATATTCTGTTCTATGTCTGATTATTGCTTGTTTTTGGTTAATTATTCGATTATGTGAAATACGCGTCGAAACTTGTTTATCACAACCAATCAATAACAATAACAATGATATTTATTCATATTTCAAATCAAAATCATCTAGTTCTTATAACATTTCTACGAATTTACATGTTCAAGATGTTCTTCTAGTTGTACGTACTTCTAAAAATACTCAACTATTACGAATGCCAGTTATTCTCAATACATGGTTTAAATTTTCTCCAGATACAACATATATAGCCACAAATGGCAATGCAACATTTCTTTATCGTTATATTTCTAAACGATATCACGATCAGATACATTCGACTAATTGTAAGCAAGCACATTCTATACGTGATTTATGTTGTCATAGTGCATCAGAATTTAATATTTATTTTCGAAATCAAAATAAATATAAATGGTTATGTCGTTTTGATGATGATCAATATGTTAATGTACCATTACTTATTGATTATTTAAAACAATTTATTCCTGACAAAGAACTTTTATATATTGGTAAACCAAGTTTAAAAGAACCGAAACGTGGACGTAGTATGAGATTTTGGTTTGCAACTTATGGTGGTGGTGTTTGTTTTTCTAGGGCTCTTTTAAAAATGATTTATGATGATGTTCAACCAGATAATAAATTTATGGAAGGTTGTATATCAACAAATTATCCTGATGATACACATATAGCTTATATACTTCGGAAAAAATATCATATTAATCTAACTATTGCAAATGATTTTCATCATCATATTGAATGGGATCTATTTACAAATTTAACGAATCCATTAAATATTGATCAAGCTATTACACTTGGCTTTAAAGGTAGTATTGTACCTCGATTTATACCTTTAATGAAAAACGATGTATATCATATGCAAACATTGCATTGTTTATTATACCCGGATGTAAATTGTATGCGTTTATTAAGAATTTTATTAAATAAATTTTATGAAGAAAAAAAAAGGTTAATTTAAATAAAATGTTATATACTCTTTCTGTTTTTTTCTTTTATAATGAGATTCATCATTATATTTTCGTATATTTACCAAAAAAATAAATAAGCTTTCTTTAATAAAAATGGATAAAAGAAAAAAAATAAAAAATGTTCATAAATAATTTAATGAATAATAAACAAATATATAAAGCAAAAGAAAAAAGGAATTTTTGTTTAATCGTTAACAGTTTCCTTTTTTTATTATTTTCGCTAACTATTAGAATATTTTAATAACAAGATAAAAGCACACAGCTTTATTTAAAGAAAAAAAAACGAAATGAAAAGAGAAAGATCACGTGCCTATGAAGTATGTTACTTTTGAAAATCACAAACAATATGCACCTATTATTTGGTTTTGTTTAGAAAATATAATCATTATTGTTTAAATAAAGCAGTTAAATGACTAGTTATGTCAAAGAACCAGTATTTTCTTTATCCCATTTCTAATGTTGGTGTAGTTTGATTATGTTGTTGAATAGTAGGATTCGATGTTTGCTGTTGTGAATTAGTTGTAGTTGTTGCTGATGTTGGTGTTTCAAGATTAATTAATAATTGTGATAACCATTTTTTAGTCGATGGATCTTCTTTAAGTACAGCATCCTATAACAATCAAAAGAATTTCAAAAATATTTTTCTTCAATAAAAATTAATTACAAATGTATGATCTTTAAGACAATCAGGAAGACATGAACGAAGAGCTTCACGAGCTCGAGGATTATCCGATAAGCGTAAATAACATCGAATAATATGTTTTAATAAACGACCACTTGCTTCTCTTTGCTATTCAAAAAGAAAAATTATTTTATATTAAATAACTAAAACAAGAAAAAAAAAAGAATGATCGAAACCTGTTGAAGAACCATTCGTCCAAGAACCATTGCAACATGTGAAAAACGATCGAATGTTTCACAAATATAATTTAAACCAGAATCATCACCGAGAATTTTTTGTAAAATAAATGTTGCAACAGTTTTTGATAATTCACTTCCCGATTGCATTATACGTAATGATAATGGAATAATTTCTGTTGTTAATAAAAAATTAATAACATCGGTTTCATCAGTTTTAACAAGTGCACCAATAACACCTAATGATGTTAAACGTAAATATTCAAATGGTCTTGTTGATGATTTTGTATTTAAAAATGGATAAAGAAATAATGGAACATTTGCTTGAATAAAAAGTGTACGTGTTTCAGGATGTGATGCTATACATTGTAATAAAGCTAATGCATTACAAACACGATTTGATTGTTGAGCAGTTAATGTCGGTGGGTTAATATATGGATAAACTGAACTAAACAACAAACCAACCACAAAGAAAAAGACGGCATAGATAATTAATATTAAAAGTAAAGTAATGACTTACATCACTTCATATAGAAGTACAGCAACAGATCCAAATGAATGCCAAAGTAAAACCGCTAGATCGGCAACTTTTTCTCGTTTACGACTTAATTCCATTAAAGCAGCTTCACGTGTTGATGATGAAAGTAATTCAGTTATCCATCTAGCAATACGTTCACGTGATACAGAAGTATTATTAATATTCGATGTTGATTGACTTGAGTTTGTACTTGAATTATTTGATGTTTGACTGCTAGCTCCTGCTGATGTTGTGTCATTATTAGGAACATTTGATAGATTATTTGGACTAGGTGAAGGATTTAAGGATGATGATGATGATGAAGCCATGTTCATTATATAAAAAGAATCTAAAATGATTTATTACTCATATTGAATGTAAGATCTAAATTTTCGTTTTCTCTTGCAAGACTTTCTTGTATACCTTTGAAATTTTATTGTTTCTCTAATTTAATTTTTACGCCTTAATGTTAATTAATAAAAAATACTACGAAAAAGAATATGTTGGGTATTTTTCTTTTTATTAATTGACCTGTTGATCTGTTCACAATCTACTAACTCATGTGAATGGCTCATTTCATCATTTCTAAAAGAAATCCACTAATGCATTTGTGAATGTTACTTTAGAAATGGACCTTTTAAAAAACTAATTACACAAAAAAATTACGCATACTTCATAATATTTTTATATAATATTTTCATCGTGGCCATTTTTTGTTTTTTATTTCTTCTCATATTGCATACCAACGACATCATAAGTATTGTTGGTTTCATTGCTTCCGCTGCTGACAGCAGCTAAGAAACGGAAAGAAGCGGTTCGAATATAAAAAATTTATAACAGCGAACACATATATTAAACCATCTTCAGAAAATGTATTTGGATCAATTAAAATTTATGCTTGATCAGTTGATTTTGATAATGAATCTAATTCATAATAAACATCTTGATTTTGAAGACCTGTATTAATAAAACTATCCTATATTTCTTTTAGCTATGATTAAATAAAGAAAACTATACAATAAGATAGAGCACAATGAAAGAAATTACTGTACACCGAGAACAACAATACCCAGGTCTATGGATACGGCTATCCGTATTTTTACCGTAAATTTGCTTCATACGACACCGTAAACGGACCGTATTTTCTCGTAACCATGGGCACATTAATATAGCACCGTATACGAGGCCGTATTTTCACAGTATACGGCCGTAATCTCATTATGATAAGGCCGTATTTCTGTACCCGATATTACGGCCGTATACGGTCCGTTTATGCGGCGTAAGGTAACTGTAAACGGTCGTTTACGGACCGTATCGTTCGACCTGGGTGTCATTAAATATACATAACAACTATCAGAACAGTTATTCATTCAAAGATCGGTACTAGTACAATTCTTCGCAATCAATTCGTTGCAGAGAAAGGAAAGAGTATATTAATTGAATTAAGTGATTTCGTTTATTTTGTTTTTCAATTAATCACATAAATGTGTATGTTACAGTAGAAATAAAAATTCTGTTGGAAAATATAAAAATTTTAATTTTTTTTATAGGAAAATTTGAAGCGTTCCTGCAGTGGAAATTCAAATTTCGGTTTTTCCTAGGACAATTTTAAATTCTCCTAAATTCTAAGTTCTATTGACACATACTGTTTTATAAGATGATCACATCTGCATCATGGATAGTAGATTCAGTTTCAATAAACAAATGATTTAGTTGCGTAAAAAAATTACTTAAAAAACCCTTCTGTTACAGTGCAAATAGTTTATTATTAAATGAGACTGAAATCAAGTCCTTTATGGAGAGACTTCTGAGGAAATCTTGAGGTAAGAAATTCAAGAAGAAATGCAGGCAAAATTTGCTCTTTCTTGATCTATATGATTCGCTCAGTACTTTAAGAAATAGTTTTTCCGTGATTTGAAAAGCAGCCTAATCCTTGAATAAAGTAGTCTTCAAAATTTTCGTAACGGGTGTTTAAGTTTCGATGTTGCGAACATTAGAGGAATAGTTGGATTAAATCTGATAACTTAAGTATTCTTTACAAATCACTTTTTACAAATGATGTATTAAGTTTTTAACAAGATCTATTATCTAAAGAAATAAATTTTTAAAAATTTCAATTTAAAAATGTAATTTTTTAAAAAATCCAGTTTAACAAAAAAATAACTTTTTAAGAGCAAAACTATATTCATATAACATTTGAATGCAAAAAGTTTAAATTTATTTTTAATTAAAGTTTGTAGAATTTTATTTCGAGTTAAAATTTATTTTTAGTCCATTTAAATTAAAATAAATAAACTGTAAATCGAAATTTCTATCGTTTTTTAATAAAAAAAATACAGTCAAAAAATACTCGTATTATTTTAAGTGAAAACATTTTTTTTGAGGTGATTAATTGAAAAACAAAATAAACGAAATCACTTAATTCAATTAATATACTCTTTCCTTTCTCTGCGACGAATTGTCGTGCAACGAATTGATCGTGCGACGAATTGATCGGTCACCAAAAAAAACAAACCTTTTGAACATGAAAATTGATCTTGTTCAAGAATAAAACCAATTGAGCAAGCACATGTATAACCTGATGGTGCAATATGAAAAAGAAGACATTATTGTGTACAACGAGATTGTTGATATGGATTTTTCTTAAAATTCAAATTTCAAAACAATAATTTTTTTCCAAAATAAACATTGTATAATTTACCTAATGGTTGATAAACTTTATTTGAAATTTTCACATGAAGAATATTCAATCTTGATAATATTTTTTTATGTTTTTGTGCTTTAATTCCATGTTCAAAACGATTTAAACGTCTTATTTCATTTGAATTTGAATCATACTAATAAAGACAATTTGCAAAGAGAGCTATAGACATAGATCTATGTAAAAAATGTGTATTAGCTAAAATTTTTCTTCAATTTTCACCATTATATCTTACAACTTCAATACAATTTAAATGATGATTTGTAAAATAAACTACTTCACATATTAAATCAAATGTTAAACCTAATGGCATTTGAATTGTATCGTTAACAATACTAAGACGTTGTTGACCATCTATACTACAACGTGCAATACGAGAATTTTTATCCCAATATGTTAAAAATAAAAATCGAACACCAGCACGTAGATCAACTGCAATTGATCGTGGATTTGTTAAATTTTCTATTGAAAATACTTTTCATGTTGTTACTGATATTGGTTCTTGAATTTGAGAAATAAAATTTGAAAATTATCGAATAATAAATCTAAACTTACTTTCACCATCCATTTTTGATGAATAAATCATTTGACTTGTTTGACAATAAAAATATACAAGTTTTTCTTCATAATCAAATACAAAATCTGATATAATAGTTCATTGATCAGGTACAATCATTGGTCGAGCTTCAATATTTGAATCACGATTAAAATCAATTCCACCAATAGAAAATAAACGTGTTAATAGAAAATCTTTCACCGGTAAAAACAAAACAAAACAAAACAAAACAAAACATCAAATCTAAATCCTTTATTTTGAATTTTATGTTCATATGTTTTTAAATTTGATTTTAATCGAAAACCAGATTGACATCGACCTTAATAACTATTTCCTAATAAATTACTTCTTCTAAGTATACATAAATGGTCACAACCACCATTATATGTTCCACGTTGTTGTGATACCACTGTGAAGCTAACCACTATGAAGCTAGCCGAACCGTATCATTTAGCCGGATGAAAGTAGCGATTCTATTGGGATATGTGTTCGCCAATAGATATCGTAAAATTCGGAAATCACCACTGAAGAGGAACACAAAAAAAAAGATTCTGGAAATGATTGCCTTAGTAACAGTAAGATGAATGCAATAGAATGCGTGCAATAATTATAACTTTAATAACTGAGTGTTGATATTCTTGCTTAATATGTTCGTTTTTTCTTATGAAGAAAAAATTACAAACAAAATTTGCACTCGATTTAATGCAGCTGATCACTTGAATTGAATTTTCTGTAATGAAGTTGGTATCACCAATACTATAACATATACGAATTTCTGCGGACTTCAGACGGAATTTTAAAAGGTGTGAACGTCCTTTTCTTCAACATCTTAACTAGTTGCATCGATTGATGCCATTCAGAAGTTACCAGAAATTTTTTCAGTGCTGGTGTTGGTATTACTAATACGAGAATGTTGATGAATTTGTGCGAGTTTCAGACGGTGTTTTTAAAGGTATGAGCATCATTTTTCTCAATAACTAAACTTGCTGTATCGATTGATGCCATTTAGAAGTCATCGGAATTGTTTTTCCTTGATGTTGTTGATACTATTAATTTTAGTGGCATTCATCGTCTGCAGTGTTTCTAATAGAAATTCTAAAATAAAAAGTCAAATGACATATTATTTTTGTCACCAAAGTGTAAAATGACACTCTGTTTTTTTAAACAAAGTATCACAAAATTTCCAAGGTGTTTATTATTAGAGTCGGATTCAAAAAAAAGAAATATTTCATATGAATTTATCAGAGCTCTCCCACTGGAAGAAAGGATCATATTCCAATTTCAAAGTTTGGGTTTTTGATAAACGAACTTTCAGTGTTATTTCCATTGTTTCCTTATTAATTCTAAAAACATGGCTGTAATCTAGAAATTGTGGTCGAATCTAAAAATCTCTTCCAATCAGTCTTTTGAGTTGTCGATCTCGCGCTCCCTTCTCTTAAACCTTGTAGATATCAAGACTAAGGCCGCATTTTAACTTTAAAACTACTTTGACACATTACGTTCAGTTAAAGTTAATTACTTTAAACTTTCAAGTTGATGTAGATTTTTCCACAAGATTTTTTTTGCAAAAAGATAGTATTTCTTTTATTAAAAAAATTGTTTATTTTTTATGAAAAAATAATTTCTTTACAAAAACATTGTGAAGAAATTTAATTTAACTTTAATGTTTTGAAAATTAAAGTTTAAAGTGATCTTATTTTTATTTTACTTTGAATTTATAGTTAAAGTGTGGGTGGCGGTGTGGATGTGCGTGTGTATGTGGGTGGTGTGTGGGTGTGGGTGAGTGTATGGGTGGGTGTGGTGTGGGGTGTAGGTGTAGGTGCGGCTGTAGGTGGTTGTGAGTATTGGTGTCTCTGATAACGTACATTCACACCCACACTCACACCCTTTTCATTATTTCCAATCACTGAAAACTATACAAATATTTTGTACAGGGCCTTTACAGATAATTGGTGTCACGACATTTCCATGATAAATATACACACAGATAATAGTTTCATAAAAAAAAAACATAGATGTCAACTCGGGTCCAGACTCGAATTTTTGTCCAACAATATCTGACACTCGGTATGTATATAAAACAATTGAAAGATCAAGGTTTTAGTTATCTGTTGGTTACTCTTAGAAAAAAAATCAGCGTACAATTATTTCCTTCTGTATACTTTCCTATCACTTGATGCTTAATAAAGTAAAAGTTTTCCGCTTAGTGGAAACAGAGTATGATGTTAATAGCAAAGAAAATTGAACAGTTAATTAATAAACAAACTTCGTCGTTGAAAATCGTCAAACCAAAAGTAACACCAATATTTTTACCTTTATGGAACAGTTCTACTTATTTTCTATGTAAATGAAGTCAAGCAAGAATACGGTCTATGCAATCAATCTAGGGAGCTACGGGCTATAGGTTCCTATTTACGAGACTGTCCGTACAAATAAACGATATAGAATAGCTTATTTTACATCGCTACTGAAGTCTCTTGATTTTTTTCTCGTTATTGTTTCCCTTTACTCTGAAATTCGTATTCATTTTCTTCAATATACTTTTGCGCTTAAGAAAATATTATCTTTTCTTATTCTCGAGTCGGCTCGCGACACAATAAATGGCCATAAACGGAGGAATGGAGGCATTTTCAAGTAGTTTTGTTTTATAATCTAGGGTTACAAAATAAATATTCCGTTTTTTATTTATTTATTATCCTATACGTATAGAAAACTTCAAAAATGCCGAACGAAAAAAATTGTTGTTATAAACGATCTTAACAACGGGTCATAAAGTGGTAATAAACTGACTATTACGATCACTGATAACATTTAGAGACTTGTGTATCCATAATTTATGGTCCCCGTCATGGCATTGAATCAATGTTCCTTCAAGCACCAATTTGGATGAACTGGAACGTAATGTCTACTATTTTTTTAGCTAATTTCAAAAACTAGTTTTTGGGAGATGAAGCCGAAAATTTTATATTTATTGTTTTATTCTCAATAAGTGTCAAAGCTTTCTCCAAATATCAACAAAGCGAATCACAAAACAAAACTATGCATACTAGAAATAGCAAAATAATGAATAAAAAACCAAAAAATATCATTAATTTGCTATCAGCTTGAGTTTATGTATGTGGTGTTTCACATACTCAAAACTCATCGAAGTTGTTGAAATCCGATTCTTGAAGTCGAGTCGGCACCATTGAAACACTTTTATCGAAGTCTTAAATAAAAGTTGCTGATTTTGAAGTCCTAAATCAAAGCCGACCAATAAGCATTAAGAGCTGTTGTCTAATTCTGGATAGAAAAATTTACCGAAATCAGCTAGAAAAAATATAAATCCTATTTCCAGTTACACCGACATCAACTAACACTTATCGAGTCCAAGGTCCAATACACGGTGCTTTCGCAAGGATTTATCCCATCGGATTTTTATCATATATATTTTGTTCAAATGTAAAATTCTACTTCGTATATTAGTAAAAGAAACAACAAAAAGTGATAGATATCATGCGCGCCCAAATGAATTTTGCATTATTCTGTGAAGAAATTCTTTGTTTTTTTTTCAACATTAATGATCGTTAATTGTATGAGAAGAATAAAAAATAAAAAATGTAAGCAAAAGGAAACTAAAATGACATAATTCAAGTACTAATGATCAATCACAACTATCGAAACATGATAATAGTAATCAATAATTACATTATTTTGATAATTACAATTTTATTTAGATTCATTCGAATTAAAATCTTAGTCAATAGAAACTACTTGAATAAAAACTAATTTTTACATGTCATCAATTCATTTATTATCTGCTAAACTGCCATCCCTTTCATCGGTAAACTAAAAACTATAACTTCAATTCTACATTTTTCTTTGTAAAACACGATCTAAAAGAAGCGTCGAAATATACAGAGTAGAAATTTGTAACCCCTGATGAACTATTTCTTTGTCACATTTCTGAAGAGCAGCTACGTCATGTATCCTATATTAATCCAACATAGATTGTACAAATAACTTTCATAATATTTCTCTCGCATTAGCAACAACAGCAAAAACTTCATGGTGAAATGTATATTGCTTTCACTACTAATACAGTAAATAATATGCAAACATATTCATATTTTAATGAAAGTATTTCGCACAATATCTCATACAATGGACATTTATTACATTCAGTCTATCATTATCCTCTAGAAAATATTCAACTTATAGAAGATTTTGAAAAACGTTACCAATTATCATACAAAATAGACGATAAACTTGATTTACATCAATTCGAACTTATAATGACACTTGGACAAGGATCATTTGGTAAGAAATCATATTATTCGTGAATATTCTTAATATTTGCTTCGAACTAGGTCGAGTTTTATTAGTTGTACTTGAACAAAACAAATTTGAATATGCTCTCAAAGTTTTAGATAAATCAAAAATTGTTAAATATAATCAAATAAAACATGTTCAAAATGAAATACGTATTCTTAATGCTATTAGGCATCCGAATAGTATCCTAATGCATTCTTTATTTAAAGATAATTCATATATTTATGTTCTTATGGAATATGTAAGTTAAGAAGAACATAACAAACTCTACGTTAAATATTTTGATCTAAGGTTCGCGGTGGTGATTTATTTGGTTATATTAATAAATTAAAAGTATTTCAAGAACATATAACTTCATTTTTTGCTGCTCAAATTGTTCTTGTATGGATGGAGATTGTGTCTACTTTTACAATTAACACATGTAGTTGTTCTAGGTATTTGAATATTTACATTTTTTTAATATTATCTATCGAGATTTAAAACCAGTGAGTTTGATTTATTTTTCATATCCCATATGATACAAAAAACTAAAAACATTTAGGAAAATATTTTAGTAGATCATCATGGTTATTTAAAGGTAAAATGACTTTTTTATTTAGTCAGTAGTAGTTATTATATTTATTAATCCCAATAAATAAAGGTGATGGAGAAAAAAAGCCAAGGAAATCATCTTAGTTCTGATTATAAAAGTAGAAAATTCTCTATGAGACAAGTTCTTC